TACACATAATCTAGATAGGATCACAATATTTTCAAAATGCTGGGATTCTTGTTATTTAAGTTTTAACATATATTAATGAATTGCACAAGTGTTTAACATTACAGATCATCATTCACACACATGTGTATGTCACTCGCACAGCAATTTGGGGCTTGGGGTCTTGCCTAAGGTCACACAGGGATCGAACCACCGACCTTTCTATTAATAGATAACCAACCTCCTCGCCATACCCACCCCTACTTAAAACTACTGCAAAAATTAAATATAGTGCTACTTTAAAACTGATTGGTTGTCTCGGGCCCATCCATCATTAAAGCATACACAAACACACCACAACCCTATATGTAACACTTGATCTGTCCGCCCTGGGAGAGGGATCCCTGTCTTCTGACTCTCCCTGAAGTTTTCCCCCTCCTGTTTAAAAGAGGTTTTTATTTGGAAGTTTTCCCCCACACCATAGTTAAGTGTCAGAGCAGAGAATGTTGCTCCTTGTACAGATTGTTAAACTGTATGAGGCAAATTGTGATTTGTGAATACAAACGATGTTGATTTGATACTGGGTCTCCATCCACTGAGACACTAAATGGGAAAGGAAAATGGATGGAATTATTATTCAGATTTATCGTTCGCTCGTGGAAGAATCATCAAAACATTCTAACACTCTGAGATAACAAATACACAACAAGAACTCCTAAATGATTCTCCACATCTTCACAATTGTTTCTCAGCAATAGAAAAATGTTCTCTGAATTTTTGCATCGTCTATGAACAAACCTCTTCACAGCTATGGTGCATAACAAAACAGATCATTTATAAAGTGGATGGAAGTTTTATATATAGAGTAAAAATATGAAAATAACTTCATTTCTGGATTTCACTTCTCAGAGTGGACACAGGACTGATGAGGAAACAAAAACAAGCCGTTAAAGTGAGTAAATTCAAATGTTTTATATCTTCTTAAAGAAATCTTCTCTTTAGCTGTCAAGACAAATGACGAGGACAAGATGATCAGATTAAGTCAACTTGGAACTGCACTATAAGAAAATGTATGAATATCCGTCTGTTATCAGAAATGTGTTGTTTGCTTCTCTTTCTTCATAGTTACTGGATGCAGCAGTTTTTCAGAACCACACATTCCAGCGATTAGACATCACAAATCCAAATCACACTTTGTGTTAGATCACGTCATATCCTTTATTTAGAATAGAAAAAAGCACAGGTGTATTTACATTCACATGTACAGTGGCATACAATACAATACAATTTTACAATAACAGCGTTCTCCAAAGTCTGTACAGGGTTAAAGTGACAAATGTTGAGTTTTCAGTGTGGAGCGATGAGGACGAGGTGGAAACTGTACAAACCTCTGACTGAAGGAACTGTTCACCTGAGCTGGTGAGGATCAGAAACATGATGTAAAATTGTAGAAAATATCTCATCTCTCATTTGATATTTGACACATTTCCATAAGATTAGACACTGATAATTATTAATACAATCTGGACAGTGGTGTTTCTTCAGTACATTTCAGTTAAAACATCTTTCTGCTGGAATAACAAACCAAATGAAGTTAAAATGTCTTTGTGTGATGTTTTACTTTCACATGAACTCATTTATTTCCTTAATAAAGACCTGTCTCATCAGGAGCCCCCTCCTCTTCTCCACAACAGCTCTATTCTAAAGTGCAACGTTGTTCTGAGCGACTGTCCCTCTGTGCCGGTGTCATCATAGCACCATGGTGGGGATGTGGTGCACCAGGGGCATCTGGTGCTGGTGGGGAATGCCCGTCATCTGTGGGGGTGGAGGGGACACGCGCGAGGGCACGTCGACGCTGGACACCACCGGCTTGTGCCGTGCGCTCTTCTGGTGCGCCCTGAGGCCCGCCAGCTGCGAGTACGCGCTCTGGCACACGTGGCACTTGTAGGGCCGCTCGCCGGTGTGCAGTCGGACGTGGTTGCGCAGCGTGGACGACTGGCTGAAGCGGCGGTTGCAGAAGCGGCACACGAAGGGCTTGTCCAGAGTGTGGATGCGCATGTGAGAGCGCAGGTTGCTGCGGGAGTTGAAGCCGCGGTGGCAGATGACGCAGCGCATGCGACTCGCAGAGGAGGAGGAAGAGGAGGAGGAGGAGGAGGAGGAAGAAGAGGGAGAGCATGAGGAAGGGCCCTCACAGGAGTGGGAGTCATCTGCGAGAGGAAACAAGGAGGGAGGTTATTTAAAGGCCGCAGTTTGTCTCAGGTGGATGCTGCTGCACAGAGAGATCTAAACTCTTTTTTTAATTATCCCTGCATTGATGCGTAAAAGTTACTCACCATTCCTGCTTTTCTTCAGGTGCTCTTCATCTATTCCAGGAACTCCAGGGATTCCCAGGAATGTGTTGTGTGTGTTTCCATACCAGACGAGAAGCTCCTGGTCTGGAGGGATGGTCTGAGAGGAGGAAGGGAAGAGGGTAAAGCTCAGTTAATCAAAATGCAACGTGACTATTGACTTCAAATTGCATGACGAACACACGCAATTCTCTTTTCTCATCAGCAGGTGGCGCTTTTCTAAAGGACATCCTTGCCAGGCCTCAAATAAAATCCTTGCTCAGCCACAGTGGAGCATCACTGCTGTTGGTGTGAAGTTGTTCTCACCTCCACAGCCTTGTAGAAGATGCTGCTGCCGATCTGCACCACCTCCAGATTTTGCTCCTGCTCGTTCCTGGCGCACTTGATGTAGGTCATCCAGCTGCGCTGATCCTCCTGACTGGCATCGATGAAATAACGCACGGTGCCATCTTCATTGAACACCTGAGCACACAAGTGAAACAAAGATTAATATCAAAAACACACGATAAAATAAACATCTCTAACGATCATTTGTGGCTGTCATCTTATCAGTTGCATCACATCCCAGGTCTTATTTCCCCACAAGCTGTTTATAAATGTGGAGTCGCAGCTCACCTCCCACATGAGGTTGTTGTTCTTGAGCAGGTCCACGTGTTCAGGGGACAGGACTCTCCCAGTGAAAGGACCCATCTCTGTCCCGGCCTTGATCCAGGTCTTTGAGAAGATGCCCAGACCTTCTCCAGGGATGGAGCTCTGCGCAATGATCACCTCGCTGGGCAGCACCAGACTGGACAGCTTCTGCACCTCTGCAAAGAAAAAGGAAGAAACGTGAGCATACAACATACACAGGAATTAAACTACATCGATTGTTTTAAATGTGCAAAAGGAAAAACACAACATAAATGTAGAATAATGTCGATGGAGCAGGGAGCGTAGTCTGTGGTCAGAGCTTCTCATGAAACAGGATTTGCTGGAAAAGATCCTGAAAGCAGCAAATGGACTGGATCTTATTTTGGTCACGAAATATTAAGCTACACCTTATCCTCCGTTTAATTCGATTATCTGGCTGAATTGAAAGTTTTTGTTGCGCACAGAAACCCCCTTGGAAAGCATTTTCATCCGCATCAGAAAGGATGGAAAAAAGAAAAAGAAAAAAAAAGATCGTGCGATTCTTTAATGTCAAAATCAAAGATTTTTTTTTTTATGTGAGGCTGCGAAAAAAAGCTGTTGTGAATGGGGGTTAAATGGTCCTCTAATGCCCAGGGTCCAGCAATTTGTCATGCTTCAGATGTGATATTCATTAAAGTTTACTGGAAAAGAAACGGCTAATTCCAAATTCATTATCCTTTTAAGAACTTTGTAGCAATAAATTTGCGCTGAATGAGACGAGGACTTGTTAAAAAGACGAAGGAATTTCTGCAACAAAAAAATGGAAAGGCGATTAAATGGTTGACATGCAATGAATAGCATTAGATTTAGCCTTCACGGTGCATTATGCGAGGAACAGCAAATCTTTTAAGGGGAGAGAAAGGAGAAAAGCTCCGGAGCCCCATAGCTGCCAAGAGAGGAAAAGAGACTGTCCGGAGATTGATGAATGCGGGATAAGAGAGAGAAAAAAACCCGGGACATCTCAAAGAAAGGGAACTTTTTCTCCCCCTCGAGGTTTAAGTGGAAACTTTCCCAGGTCAAGCACAAAGTTAACCAAATGAATTTAATGCCCTGCGTCTTTCAATCGGCGGCAGTTACACGCCTAACAAGCCTCTGAGCGCCGGGTCCCGGAGCTGCGAGGGGGTCAATGCGTTAAATGGGTCGAAAGAAAAGCGGAAAAATGAGGGAAAATGTGCAAAACAGCAACAAGAGAGGAGGATTTAGTTTGTGAACACAGGCTGCGTATTTGGGAGAGTTGGTTTCTTTGACAGGGTGGTGGAATTGATCCACATTGCGTGAGGTGGAATCGTTGGGGACAAATTGGGAAAAAAATGGGAAAAGAAAAATATCCTGATGGATTTAAGTGAAACAGGAAATTATCCAAAATCAGCGCATTCTTTAAAAAGTATGTAGTCGAGATGTATTGATGTATATTTGCTTTTTTTTAAGCCTATGACTTCTACTAACCTTTACGCACAACAAAATAAGCATGTTTGGATAAAAACATAAAATGAACCCTCATAAACCATCATTTAAATAAAATACCTTCCAAACAGGAACCAGGATAACATGAAACACTCTACATATAAAACAAAAATCAGCAGGTGAGCTCATCCTTACCTCCAGCGAAGGACTGCGCCAGCACCTCGGCGGTGAACGCGGTCTTGGGGCAGCCACCGGTGCCGCTGTGCCGCTCCTCCGCCAGGTGTTCGCCCAGCACGTTCCTCCACCTGCCGTACAGGAAACTGTGCAGGATGTCCGAGGTGATCACGTCCGACAACGCACGGCTCGGACACTTAAATCCAGACTTGAGAGCCAGGGCGTCGGCGGGCAGCACGGAGCCCATGGTGCAGGAAACAAACGAGGAGGGGGAAAAAAGAAACGATGGAGAGAAGGAAAGAAAGAAAAACAAGCGGTGCAGCAACAAGTAGAGCGATGAAAAAGAAGAAGGGGGTTTGGATTTAAAAAAAAGAGGAGTGAACCCACAGAGCTGCTCTTATCAGTGCGTCCTCCTGCTCTGGAGAGGCTGTGCGTAAAAGTGCCTTGTCTGGCTGTGAGGGTCTCTTTATATAAGTGGCTGAGTGACCCCTGTCTAATTACTTATTAATGACACACCCCTCGCCGTGTGTGTGTGAGTGTGTGGACCTGCCTGCTGCGCGCACACACACACACACACACACAGAGGGAGGGGGCCCGAGACTTTATTTAAGGCAAATTTGCGCAAAGCTGCAAATGCATCGGAGCAGTTAAAATAAAAACCCACACATATACTTTTGAATCTTTATAAAAATCGAAATCCTGCAGAATAAAAAACTACAAACCCCTCGCAAAGTTACGAAGATTGTGATAAAAACATAGATTACTGCGTAAAACAAGAATAAGCTGCGATGTTCGGCCAGGATAAATACGAATGAGCGTTATTCTGTTAATAAATGTGCACAATAAACGGGATGTGGACACAAATATGAAATAATAAGACAATAATAATAATAATAATAAGCTGAGAACGTTTGAAGAGATGATGTCCACGCAGAAGTGGGTCATTGAGTCTGGGAGCTGCTCGCCTATTTTTTTCTCATGGCACTCCTTATTCATGCGGTGGTGATATTAATTTTTGTGCGTGCATTTGTGCATGCGTGTGTGTGTGTGTGGAGCAAGCGCGGGAACAACAAGAATGGAAACAAGCTCGACGTGTTTTTTTCTCCACATCATTGTTCCCCGGCACAAAAATGCAAAGCTGCTTTGACGTGCTGGTTCACTTTTTGTTGAGGTATAAGCGGTTTAATATTCATGGTTGTTCGCGGGGCCCCCTCCCCTGTATTGTGACAACGTTTAGATGAGTATATACGGGGGCCCCTTTCTTCTCCGCAGCCACTGTTTTTTCCTCTTGATGGACCGGGGGGCTAAAATGGGCAGTTTTCCTTCTTTTCCAGCAGAGAGGACATCTTTATTCCATCCCCGGCTCGCAGGTTTCCTATTCAGCTCCCTCTCCAAGTAATGTCAGGGCCCTGAAACGGTGCCGCAAATCAATCTTCCATGGTGTTTTGAGGGCAATTTGACATCCATGCACTCTCCTCCTTTCACCGCACCAACTACAAGGAGGATTGTCCGAGAAGGAGGAGGAGGAGGAGGAAGAAATGGGAAAAGTTGTGCGCCCTCTTTCTCTCCATCCCTCTGGACGAACATGGACTGTGGCAGTGAAATGAGAAAGAAGATTTGGCACCTAAATACAATCGCTGATCTTTTTTGATTATCATTGTTTTTTTTGTTGCTCTGAGCTGCAGAGATAGTGAAAAGGCAAGGTGAGTGACAGGGCACGAAAAAAGATTACTGTGAAAAACAGCTGCTTTTTATGAGCGGGCCCCTCCTACGTTTTGCCCCCCCACCCCACCCCGCACCTCCTGTTTCCCAGATGAAATTTTCTCTGCTCTTTTCAATGGGATCCTTTCTCATCTAGATTGATTTACATTTATAGCATTCAGCGCACAAATCCGAGGTAAAAGGCGCGGGGACAGCGGGGCGGGGCCGCTTCTTTATTAAAGAGGAATTAAATGAATTGAATTGCGGTAACGCATGGATTTGATTTGCTTATTTATGCGTTAACCTGTGGCTTTATGCGGGAGCCGTGTAAAGCCGCGGCCGTGTCAGCGCAGGCAAATCCAGCCCCGCTTAGCCGCTCCATTGTAAACCAATTTAAACCCTTCTGCTGTCCATTTAAAGCTTATCAATTTTCATGTGGATGATTGACAATTATTGCACAAAGAGTGCGGTAATTGTTTCATTTCAAAGAGAGCTGCTGGGAGAGCTATCAAAGAGCAGGGGCTGTTTGTGGGTAAATAGCAGAGAGGACGCCCCTCAGCAGAGGAACCTGCTGATGGCCTGCAGGGAAACACTCTGGAGTTAGAATAATAAGAAACATTTAGTGACCAAATTTAAAGATGAGGGATTCACATTTTTACATTCTCAATTGCTGGGATTTTCTGTTTTTCTTGTATATGTTCTGCTCCATGACACAAAAGTAAGAATAACAAGGTGACTTGTGCTGCTAAAATACAAATGTGCTAAAAAAAAAAAAAATGTTGCAGTAAAAAATGACAATTTAGGGAAGTGAAGATAAAAAGGTTAGACAAATAAAAAAGAAAAGGTTTAAAACAAAAAGAAATGTTCACAAAATATAAAGAAAAGGTTCAAATATAAAATGTTGTTAAAAGTGTTAAAAAAAAAAAGATGTGTTAAAATGGTTAAAAGTAAAAACAATAAAATCAAGATGTTGAAAGTTGAAATAAAAGGTTTTAAAAAAAGCAGCCTAACCAAAACTTTACCCCTCATTCATGTCTAACACGAACCTCAACCAGTAGCTCAGATATTTGTTTTTACTCCTCGGACCAGACTTTGGTCTCACAAGCAGGACAGTGTTTATGCTGGAAGAGGTCCTTACAAAAACCAGTACACACACACACACACACACACACACACACACACACACACACACACACACACAGACACACAGACACACAGACACACTTCTGCAGCCAGCTGGGGGAGAGGAGGGAGGAGAGTGAGTGCAGAGTCTCTGGGGAAGCTCCGCAGGGTCATTAAAAACAGATTAAGGTATCTGCCACAGTGTGGAGGATA